CGGAAGTGGCACTGTGGCTCAAGTGGTAGAGCGCTAGCCTTGAGCTGAAGAGCTGAGGGACAGTGCCCAGGCCCAGAGTTCAGGCCCCACGACCGGAGCCCCCACAAAAAAAGTAAGTAACAACCAGGGGCTGGGAAGGTGGCTCAGTGGCAGAGCACTTGCTTTGCATGCATGAGGCCCTGGGTTCGATTCCTCAGCACCACATAATCAGAAAAAAAAAGCCGGAAGTGGCACTGTGGCTCAAGTGGTAGAGTGCTAGCCCTGAGCTGAAGAGCTGAGGGACAGCACCCAGGCCCAGAGTTCAGGCCCATGACCGGACCCCCAAAAAAGAAAGTAACGACCAAACAGTACAAACTGACAGGGCTCCCCAAGCAGAGTGGAAAAAACAACAACTAAAAAAGGCAAGTGCAGAAGGAAAACATTGAGTAAAGAGCCTTGAAATGCTAGGCTACTAGAGTTTAGATTACATAGATATGGAAGCAAAATTGGATCATAAATCAATAAACACAATTCATAAACCCAACTACCTTACATCTTTTTCTTTTAATATTTTTTTTTGGTCAGTTGTGAGGCTTGAACTCTGGGCCTGGGCACTATCCCTGTGCTCTTCAGCTCAAGGAGAGTGCTCTACCACTTGAGCCACAGCTCCACTTCCGGTTTTCTAGGGATTTATTGGAGAGAAGAGTTTCACGGACTTTCATGCCCAGGCTGGCTTTGAACTGCGATCCTCAGATCTCAGCCTCCTGAGTAGCTAGGATTACAGGCGTGAGCCACCGGCGCCCAGCTACCTTATATCTTTAAAAATAATAATTAGCTGTGCGCTTGTGGTTTATGCCTATAATCCTAGCAACTCAGGAAGCTGAGATCTGAGAATTGCTGTTTGAAGTCAGCGTGGGCAGAAAAACCCTCATGACACTTATCTCCAATTAACCACTCAAAAACTGGAAGTGGAGCTGTGGCTCAAAGTGGTAGAGTGCAAGCCTAGAGCAAAGGAGCTTAGGGACAGTGTCCAGGCCTTGAGTTCAAGCCCCACAACCCACAAAATTAATTAATTAAAATCATTAACTACTGTGAAGAGATTACTGTTATTTTCAACAGCTCAATTTATCTTTAAATACATACCTCTACCATACAGTCTCATGCTTTCCATGTAAGTTGCAAGGTTTTCTGCTACCAAAGTAACTAGGGCATGATTGTGCTGAAGTTGATTGATTAAGTCATGGCGATAAAATACATGGGGACTTCGCTGAGTTTGACTGAAACGAGAAGAACTTAACAATATAATTAGGCAATTAAACTGTTGTAATCAAGAGTTCACACTAACTACTCAGTTACTAATTAAAAATTCAAAACCATTTACTTTTAGTAACATTATTATTCAAAGAAATTAATCAATACATCACAAGAGAGATTTTTATTACTTTACCAAAAAACCAATATCAGTATTTTCTGACATTAGAGTACACTTGTCATAGGAGTGTATTTACTTATTGACTTCTACATCTATACAGTACTAGTACCAGAACACTTGTGTTATATTACATGCTTAAGAGTTACAAAATAGAAAATTCTTTGTGAAGAGTAGCAAATATTAGGGCACTTGGTTGGTGAAGTTTGTCAACAGTATCCCCAGAAAGATACCTAAGTTCCTTTCCAAACTGTTGTGCCACATTCACTGAAACAAATTAATGTTCAGATCCACTACTAATACTCTATTGAAGAGAAGAAGAGTACTCTTACGGCAGACATCTGCAGGAAATCAACAAGAAGCACAGGAGAAGCATATATGTCTGTCCCACCAAGTTCCTAATGATTTTTCTCTTCTCAGTGCATGGCCTGAACTATATCTAGTATTTTGTTAGTTAATTGGATGAGTCTTGTAATCTTTTCTATCTGTGCTGGCCTCAAACCTCAATCCTTCAGATCTCAGTGTCTGGAGCAGCTAGGATTACAGGTGTAAGCCACTGTTGCCTAATTATACCTTGCCATTTTCAATCATTTAAATGTTATTCCAGTCTAACTTGCTAGAAACAAGAGAGCTCTAAATCAATACCCTAAAAGTGGCATTTCATTTTGATTCTAATACTTATCATTTAATATTGTGGCTTACTTCTTCATGAATAAAACAAAGGAAGTGGTTATGGTAAAGGATTGTTTTGTTCTAACATTTCTCTTAGGCTCCTGTCACTGCACAATTTTTTTCCTTCAAATTTTGCTTTTACTAAAAAGCTATTTCTTTTCAACAAAATACATAATTGTAAAGTATCAAAATTACCTCCATTTAAGTCTTACCTCAAATTTTGAGGTGCTTCACCAAATAAACTACAAATTTCTCTAATTTGTTTCAGTGCAGGAATAACCCATTTGTCATTTGTGCGAAGTTCTTCTATGAAGCGATCTATCCATTGGATCTTCTGTGTGTCCCGGTCCTTGAAACAAATCATTGAAATAATTTATAGTGATTAATAGGATAATTCTGCTTTTAGGTTATTTACAGAATTGTAAGCTTTAACTTTACATTTACTATCTAAACTCCAAAAAGTAAAGCACTATTTACAGAATTGTAAGCTTTAACTTTACATTTACTATCTAAACTCCACAAAGTAAAGCACTATCATAAATGTTTAATATACTTTAAGTTTGCTGGATGGTACTGTGTTTTACACACACACACACTTTTTCCTATTTCCTGGAGTTCATTTCGATAAATATTATTTTATAGGAGCAGATGTTTATCCAGTATTTTAAGATTCTACCATATTTCAGAAAGTAGCATTAACATCTTGACTGTTTGCTGTCTAGGAAATTCTATTATTTGCTTTATTTCTATAGATTTCCTTTCCTATGAAGAAAAAAAGTCACAGGAAGTGAGCAAAGCAGAATACCCTACCTGGGAGCAACTGTAATCTAGTATTTTTATGTGGGCACTAAGAGCCAGGTCCATGATATCTACAGGCACATCATCACTGTGGGCCAGATTCCACAGAAGGTTCAACACTTTGTGTGCCATCACACCATCTTTATCATCTTCTGCAAGACGACGAATCAACTCAAGTAACTTTTCACGTTGCTTTTTACTTGCATTTGTCCAACTGGCCTGGAAAAAAATTTAAATGATGATGACTATTCATGTTTGCTCATCTCCTTTTGTCTTTCTGGTGATGTTGCCAGTACTGGGGATTAAACTGAGGGCCTCAAAGTCCTAGTTTTTTCACTCAATGATGGTATTCTATCATGAGTCATAGAACAACTCATAGAGGATTGTGGTTTGAAGCCAGCCTGGGCAGAAAAGCCTGTGAGACTTTTACCATCAATTAACAACCAAAAAGCTGGAGGTGCAGTTGTAGCTCAAATCGCAGAGAGCTAGCTCTAAGCAAAAGAGCTCAAGGAAGCCGGGCGCACTGGTGGCTCACACCTATAATCCTAGCTACTCAGGAGGCTGAGATCTTAGGATCATGGTTCAAAGCCAGCCTGGGCATGAAAGTTCATGAAACTCTTCTCTCCAATAAACCATCAGAAAACCAGCAGTGGCACTGTAGCTCAAGTGGTAGAGCGCTAGCCTTGAGCTGAAGAGCTGAGGGACAGCGCCCAGGCCCAGAGTTCAAGGCCCACGACTGACAAAGAAAAGAGCTCAAGGACAGTGGCCAGGCAGTGACTTCAAGCTCAAATACTGGCACACACAGAAACAGAGGCAGATATAGACATACCACATGGTAATGATTGCACTATGTTAATTACCTTAAAGCAATCAAAAAGATGATCAAGTTGTTCGGGAGAAAAATCCCATGCCAATTTTGCCAGGAGATCATGAACATTCTTCACAATGGCTTCATGTTTTCCTGCCTATCAAGAAACAAAGAAAACCATAGAATACTATAATTTGAGTAACAGAAAAGTAGTATACATTGACTGATGACAAGTTATTTCTATCTCTTTCACTTACTGTACAACAAAGTACCTGATACTGTGTTTTAAATATAAAATGTGGTGACTCCATTTCTGAATATACATGGTTAATATAAACTTTGGCAATTCATTTAAACTTTTACTATAGTTTACTACATTTAACATACTGATTTTATTTATTTATTTTTGCTGGTCCTAGGACTTGACCTCTGGGTCTAGATGCTGCTGCCTCTGAGCTTTTGTGCTCAAGGCTAGCACTCTTATCACTTGAGCTCCACTTCTGGCTTTGACCCACAATCCTCAGATATCAGCCTCCTGAGTTGCTAGGATTACAGGCATGAACTACTGGTGCTCTGTGGTAATATAGCAGTCTAATGATACTGTTCCAAAACTGGAGCCTTAATCACTAAAAAGCAAAATCAACTATTTTTTTACATATCTATAGTAACTTAGAACTCACTGCTAAGTGACCCTAGATATAAATCTATCATTCACATAACCAAAGGATTTATACATTCTACAGGAACTGCTGGGCACCAGTGGCTCACGCCTGTAATCCTAGCTACTCAGGAGGCTGAGATCTGAGGATCGTGGTTCAAAGCCAGCCCGGGCAGGAAAGTCTGTGAGACTCTTATCTCCAATAAACAACCACAGAAAACCGGAAGTGGCACTGTAGCTCAAGTGGTAGAGCGCTAGCCTTGAGCTGAAGAGCTGAGGGACAGGGCTCAGGCCCACAGTTTAAGCCCCATGACTGACAAAACAAAACATTCTACAGGAACTTAGAACTCACCAATGCTGTCTAAATAATCCTAAATACAAATCTATGATCTGCATAATGAAAGGATTTATGTATTTTCCAACTCAAACATTTCAAACAGGTTACTAATTATTCTGAAAAGTTCTAGGTCCTTGGTGATAGTCATTATAGATCTTTATAAAGATATTGAAGAGGTTGTCATTAGAGGTATACAAAGAAATCAATTATAGATGTCTTCCACACTTTTAATGAACATCCCCTCATTCATTGCAGTACTAATGATCAAACACAGGGACCTTAGGCATGTTAGGCAAGCATTCTTATTGTACTACATCTTCAGTCTTTGGTTTTGTAACTCAAGATATCCTTAAATAGCTCAGGCTGGCCTTGATCAGTGCTCTCCTGCCACCACCACACTCACCCATGTATGTACCTATCTCTATTTTGATTCCAGACTCGTCTCCACCTCATCATCCTCTTGTCTCTGCCTCCTGAGTGTTAGGATCACAGGCATGTGCCACTATGCATAGAGATTATTTTAAAAAATTTTCCTTGCGGGGCTGGGAAG